AAAAAAAAAAAAGATTAAATTTAGCATTAATTATATCCATAAAATCGACAAATTATAGTTTTAACATATATTTTAATATAATATTCCTTGTCACATTTCAAAGGAAGTAGTAGCAGAAGCATGATTAGTGTTGGATATACCCATAATCATATATATTCTAATTATATATTATATATGTAGAAACAAAAAGTGTATCTAAATCACGACAACTTCTTCACCTCCCACCCACTCTCTGCCGAACTCTCACCTTAAACCCACCTACCATATATGTCGTCAACGGCGGGACAAAACCGTCTTCTTGGTACAAACTGGCTCCAACTCGAACCGCTCGAGAATCGAGGCTACCGTATATTTCATCTGGACGAACGCCATCTTCTTGTCGAGGCACACCTTGGGACTCGCCTAAAAATTTGGGTACTCGTAGATCTCACTGGCCCTTCCGGATCCAGCCACTTGTCCGGTATGAACTCCAAGTCTGCCATGGTCGGTGGCGAGCTCCGCACGGTAGGCTTCAATCCGCGTAGAAGACTGAACTTCTGTGCCGACTTCATGTCGGTCTCAGTGCTTGCTCCTTGCCTTTTGCAAGCCGCTGTCGGAAAGCTGAGCAGCCTTTTACCGATTGCTTGACTTCTGAGGACGCCATCAATGGTAGCCGGGAGAAATTGAAAAGGATAAACGTGATTTTCTTCAAGAAGATAATGAAGAATTTTGTTAGTAATCTAATTATATTGATGTTAAGATAAGTTGGAATATATCCAAAAAATCTCCATATCTGTTACAAAAAATATTGAGATTATGATTTCATAATTGATGTTAGATAAGTTGGAATATATTCAAAAAATATCTCCAAATTTGTTACCAAAACAATTTGGGCTTCCTATGATTTCATGATTGAAAAAATCCGATTGTTTCCTGAATAGTGTGAAGAAAATTCGCCCAAATTGTCTGACAATATAATTAAATTTGATTCTTAAAGATTCACATGTGTTTTTTTTTAATTACCACTATTAGTAAGTCAACTATTTTTTTTAAGTCAAAGTTACTATTTATGTATTTTTTCAACAACCTCTTTATATTATTATAGATAATAAAATTATTTATTAAATTAATAAGAAAAATAAAATTATTTCTCAATTAATATGTTTATGTTTAATGTAGTTATATGATATACGTTAGAAAAATTATTATAATATAACACAGGTACGTCGCACAAAGAACAAATATTATACTAAAATATATAATAATATATTTTTTATAAAAAATACTTAAATTTTCAACCACTTTTTCTCATTAGTTTTAAATTTCAAAAAAAAAAAAAAATATTAGCAAACACACATATATTATGTACTAGTCTTCTTTTATATTTGAATATGTTTCAATGCCAACATAATACCGTGGGCTTCTAGGCCTAATTTGATTCCTAATGGGCCTGAATCCGCGGCTCCAGCCGTTTCTAAATCGAGCACCAAAAAAACACCAACCTCCAACAACGGCACTCTATCTATGGTGAATCAGGCCGGGCCGGCGAAGCGACCTACTTGCCCGTCGTGCGGCAAGCCGGCCCGCACTTGTATCTGCGGCCGTCTCCCTGTACCAGCACTCGACAACCGGGTTGCCATCACCATCCTCCAGCACAGGCGGGAGAAGAACCATCATCTCAATTCCGCGCGAGTAGCAGCCCTTGGGTTTAAGAACGTCGGGGTCGTTACGGTTTCCGACGTTCATTCACTAGCTCGGGTCGCCATCCGGCCCCTTGATGTCCGATGCGGCGTTGGCCGGGCTGGACTTGGTGGGACCGGCCACCTGTTTGATGAAATGCCGAGCAGGGAAAATGATGGCTCTGAGCTTTCTGTTTTTGATGGTGAAATTGTTGGGGGTAGTGATTTTCGCTGTGGATCCAAAGAAAAATCCACGCCAGCTGAGAAGAACGAAATTTTCATCGACTTTACTGTTGGAAAACACGGGAACATTGTCTTCTCCTCCGTCAATGCTAGGATTTCTGGGGTTGAATCCCAAGGAATTACGGGTTTCGATCAGATATTGTCCTCTGAAATAGCTTCTAAACACATCGCTGGAGAAGGTTTTGTTGTGAAAAGATTCCAGACTAGTGTTCAAAATGATGAAAAGAAAGAATTTGAGATTGTTGTTGTTCCTGGGTCTGTGCTTTTGTTCCCTAGTGAGCAATCGGTCGGTTTTGACGCCATAAATTTTGAAGTAACGAATTTGATAGTGTTGGACGGGACGTGGCCAGAGGCAAAGAAAATTTACAGAGTGAATCCTTGGCTGAAGCTATTGCCGCACGTGAGGTTGGACTTAGGTGATAGGCCGAGCTTGTACGGTGAGATCAGGTGTCAGCCCAAGGTGGGATATTTATCGACAATCGAGAGCATTGTGTATGCAATGAAGGCTCTAGGGAAAGAAGGAGAAGGAGAAGGAGATGGGCTTGATGGCCTTTTGGACGTGTTTGGGTCGATGGTTACTGATCAAAGGAGGTTTGAAATTGAAAAGTGCAGCAAAGGTTCGTAGAAGGGTGGTGTATGTCAAAGATGTGATGTGCAATACGGGACCTTTTTTCATTGAAGTGTTTAAACATATTTCTTGAATTGAATTGGAGAGGATACTCACTTTGCCTCATGTGCAATGTCAAGCTAGAATGAAACCGATTATTTGAGATTGAATACCATTGAGAATGACGAATTTCAATGTATATTATGTGTGTCATCTTATTTATCTCTATTTGTGTAGGTATAGTATTCTCAGTCGGAATGCTTACTTCAATCGAAATCTTTTGGTTTTGGAACATTTCGAAGTTTCTTGATTTATCTACGTAAAAGGCCACTCTTCAGGCATCATATTTTTCGCTGGAAAATGTATGTTCATGCGACTCAAAAGTCTTTTTCATTGGAGAATGTATAGTCCTCTACTAGTTCTCTATTCCTCCGCTGAGTGATTTGGTTTGAACTTTTCTTTGCTGAATTTCACTTAAATTCCTTTAATTGTGTTTCCTAACGCAGAGGCTCCTGTGCCAAATAAAGTTTTGACAAGTTTATCTTTGTATGGTTGAAATTCTTGATTAAACAATTAGCTGAGGCCGTGGTATACTACGTAGTGTATTTCAAGTGTACAACATGTACTTGTAAACAATTGATTCCAAAAGGGGTGAACAGACAACTGGTCTTTCTAATCGTAAATATTATAATAAGTGAATTACTATTCACCGCCCTCTTATTACTGTCCCCTAATTACGTTTTTGCCCTTCACTACTCTCTCTACTCTTTCTTTCTACTCTTTTCATTTCGATTTTATACGGCTCTTTTGACCGTCAAAAAAATTTTTAAAAAATGCCAAAAAAATACCATGACATTGGCAATACATTGAAGATTGACCATGTAATTTTTTTTTTTTTTTTTTTTGTACTTTGTAAATAATTTTTAAAAATTTTTTTGGCACGTCCTACCGCCTAGGCCGGACGCACACGGTGGCGTCCTACCGGCGAGGCGCCGCCGGACGCACGCAGTGGCGTCCTACCTCGCCGGTAGGACGCGTCAAAAAAAATAAAAAGAAAATTATAAAATTATTTACAAAGTAAAAAAAATATATATATGGTCAATCTTCAATGTCTTGTCAATGTCACGATATTTTTTTGACATTTTTTCGAAATTTTTTGACGGTCAAAAGAGCCGTTGAAATCGAGAGGGAAAGAGTAGAAAGAGAGAGAGAGTAGTGATAGGCAAAAAGATCTAAAAGGGCGGTGACTAGTAATAAAGGGGGCGGTGAATAGGAATGCCCTTATAACAAAAATTTCTCTAAACAATAACGAGGTAAAATTAAGTTGACGCTTTCATAAACACCTTCCAATCCATTTACGTACCTGAATTTTATGTAGCATGCGTGTGACATAACATATATATATGTGCTATGAAAAAATTGTTATGTGATGTATATGACAAATTGTTATAAACATTTTTGTATTCGTCTACAACAGTGGGAATACAATAACATTGTAAATTTGTAATTTGTTGTAAATTTATGCAGGTTTCATCTGTAAGAATATGTGGCCCGAAAGCATTGGGCTCACAATTAGTTATTCTATTGGGCTATGCCTTTAATTAATAGTTAAACAAATCTAAGTCATTAATCTGGATATTTGATGGACGTATCAGATCTAAAGACACCCCTATATAAATTGGTAATCTCTCCTCCTATTAGGGTACACAGTATTTTCCCATCACTTTTCTGCTACGTTAAGAGAAGGTTAGGAAGGATCCTCTCTCCTCCTATTAGGGTACGCAGTATTTTCCCATCACTTTTCTGCTACGTTAAGAGAGGGTTAGGAAGGAGAAACTGATTTAGATCTACCAATTGATTCATCCCCGTGATCATCAAGCTCAAGATCACTAATTATGTCGTCTTCCGCGCCAAGTAAGTATTTCGTATACACAAAATTATTTATTCAAGATCCTTGATGAAGTTTACATGTGGTATCAGAGCATGTGTTATGGATAAATAATATAATGTATACTGATCTATTCGGTTGCGTGATATCGGAATAATTTTGTCATCTCCGATATTTAATTGTTTGATTGTGTTCGGCCATTTGATCTGTTCGCATCAAATATGTTTGATATATTATGTTTCCGTTATCTGGTGAATTCGAATCCTATGAAATCGAACCACGTATGAATTATGTCTCTAATCTGATTTTTTGCGTGGCCATGAATTGTTGTTTGTTCTGTTCGAATTCACGGAACCAATCAACTGGTAAATTGATTGATCTATTTACAATTCATACCCTATTGACTGAATCTAATTGAATTAATTTTGTGTGGGCAATTATTGATGTTTGGGTATGTATATTTATGATGTATCAGATTTCTTATGTATATCATATCTAGCTACAGTTAGTATGATAAACATGATATTATGTGCCAAATGGAATGGTTTTATGATTAATTGAAATTTATGTATTTTGGATGATGATGATTGAGTTAACAAATTTCCCATTATGAATTATAAGAGTTAGTTTGTTAACATTATGATTATTTGTAATTATATGACATTAAGATGAAATTAATTTGTTAGTCACCAAAGTGGCCTAATTAATTTCTAATGTCCGGTCATATAATTTTATCGTTAGGATACTATTATATGACATTAAGTGAAAATTAATTTGTTAGTCACCAAAGTGGCCTAATTATTTTTTAATGCTCGGTCATATAATATTATTGTTACAACTGTTTATTATATGACATTAAGTGAAAATTAATTTGTTAGTCACCAAAGTGCCCGAATTAATTTTCTAATGTTTGATCATATAACTTATGTTCTCATGAGAACGTCATTATTTAAGATAATGAGTTTATTGGTTGTTAGAAAATATGGAATTACCCAAAGGTGAATCAATGTTCTATAACTAATAAGCATTAAGGAGAAATATGATATACTTTGTCGAGCGTATGTAGATATCCAAAGATACTATGTATGTTAGATGAAGTTTATTTAATTTCTCAATAAGTGTTGAATAACATTCGACTTATGATAATGATATATATTGTTGTGTTTACCCAAAGGAGACCTGCAATATATGTTATGAATGATTTTCTGGATCTATTAATTAAGTGAGCTTTTATGATTGTGCAGGTATCTCTCTTCATTCGCAAACTTCTTCTGTTACTGTCTTCAATGGTTTGAATTTCTCTGAATGGCGTGAGCAAGCCAATTTCCATTTAGGTGCTTTGGATATTGACTTGGCTCTGCTTGAAGAAAAGCCTGCTGACATTAAGGACCAAAGCAGTGAGGCTGAGAAATCAAACCGTAAGGTTTGGGACAGGTCTAACAGATTATGTTTGAGCTTTATCTGAATGACGATTGCCAACAACATTAAGTCAACTCTTCCCGATAATGTGGATGCAAAAGCATACCTTTTGCTTGTGGAAGAGCATTTTTTTTCCGCGGATAAGTCATTGGCAGGAACACTTATGGCTGAACTCACGACCAAAAAGTATGATGGGTCGCGTAGTATGCAACAACATGTTCTTGACATGACTAATCTTGCAGCAAGGCTTAAGTCCCTGGGTATGACTGTGGATGACTCATTTCTGGTGCAATTTATGCTTAACTCGTTGCCTCCTGAATATGGGCCTTTTCAAATTAACTATAACACTATTAAGGATAAGTGGGATGTTAATGAATTGGCCAGTAAGCTTGTTCAGGAGGAGACGAGACTTAAGGCACAAGGAGTTCATACAGTCAACCTTGTGGGCTAAGAAGCTAATGATGTTCTCAAACCGAAATCCAACAAGTTTAAGAAGAAAGGACCTACTAAAGTTTCACAGGTCACTAATGATGAAAAGAAAGAAAATCGGGAAAATAAATGTTATTTCTGTAGGAAAGAAGGTCACGTACAGAAAGATTGCCTGAAACGCAAGTCTTGGTTTGAAAAGATAGGTATTTCTAATATCTTTGTATGTTTCGAATCAAACTTGTCTGAAATTCCTTCAAATACTTGGCGGTTGGATTCTGGTGCTACAACTCATGTTTCTAATGTGATGCGGGGATTTCTTACAATCCAGAGCATAAACCCAAATGAGAACTTCTTGTTCATGGGGAACCGTATGAAGGCCCCAATTGAAGGCATAGGGACTTATCGTATTGTTTTAGATTCTGGGTACCACTTGGATCTTTTACAATCTCTCTATGTACCTTCATTTACTAGAAACTTAATGTCTATTTCTAGACTTGATGTTCTTGGGTTTTCCTTTAAGTTTGGACATGGATGTTTCAGTTTGTTTGATAAACATGATTCTGTTATTGGTTCTGGAATTCTTATGGATGGTTTATATAAACTGAAACTTGATGTTGATTTTTCTGCATCTTTAATGTGTGTTCATCAAAACATTGAAATTAAACGTGGTGTAGCGAATGAGAACTCTGCTTTCTTGTGGCATAAACGTTTGGGTCATGTATCCAAAGAAAGAATGCAAAGGTTGGTGAAAGATGAGATTCTTTCGGATCTAGATTTTACCAATCTTGGGTTGTGTGTGGATTGCATTAAGGGAAAGCAAACCAAACATAACAAGAAAAGAGCCACAAGAAGTAGTGAGCTTCTTGAAATTATACACACCGATATATGTGGACCTTTTGATGCTCCATCTTTTAATGGAGAAAAGTATTTCATTACCTTTATAGACGACTTTTCACGTTATGATTATGTCTATCTGCTCAAGGAAAAATCTCAAGCTGCAATGCACTTGAGGTTTTCATTAATGAAGTTGAAAGGCAGTTAGACAGAAAGGTGAAAATAGTAAGGTCTGATAGAGGTGGTGAATACTATGGAAGGTATGATGAATTGGGACAAAATCCCTGTCCATTTGCTAAGTTCCTTGAAAGACATGGCATATGTGCACAGTATACTATGCCATGCACACCTCAACAAAACGGTGCAGCAGAAAGGCGAAATAGAAAATTAATTGATATGGTTAGGAGTATGATAAGTAATACATCATTACCCAAATTTTTGTGGATGT